TGCATAAATCAAGCTGTCAGGGGCCGAGGCTTGTTTCTGACCCCCATCCATTCCAGCCACAGACCTTGGCCGGATGCAGGTGCAGCTCCAGATCACACGATGCCGCTATGTCGCGATGCTGGGCGGCGGGATGCTTCGATCAGCACGGGGCCTTGAATCTGGGCATGATGTACACCACATGTCCCCTGAGTAGGTCGCATCAGCAACTTGTCGCCATGATGGGGCTCAAATGTCAATGTGGCTTTGATTTCGACCCTCGCAGGATCCCTACAGGGGACCCCCGCAGAATTGCTGACCCAGGAAAATGATAAAACGTCGCTGCCGATTTAGCCCCCGACGTATAACAGAGTTGGGTGGAAAGGGCTCGCTTGGGACGCGTGACTTGGCCTGGGACTTTACTCATGCTGTCCGAATGCGGCAACCGAGTGGGCGGGTTGATTACCGACTTTGACGGGATTGGAGAGCCGAGAGCTTTGCCTCACGGCTACATATTGGCCTCCTTTTTTTCCTCGTCCGTGTCAGACACGGAGCGACAAGCGCACATAAGGAACAAACCCGCAGACAAAGACATTTTTGCACGCATGCTGCTCAACAGCAGGCACGATGCCGGCGGTTTTGCAGGCGGAGGAAAGCCCCTGATACGGCCACGGGCGTTGCACCCATGCGAGGCTGCAGCGTCCTTTTGATGTCAAGTCTGGCGGATGGTCGAGCAAGGACCTTTTGCTTCCTGGACGCGCCAACCGCCGGCTGGCGCTTACCCCAGCAGCGCATGCGACCACGGTGCGACGTCGCTCTGCTGGCTTGTTGCCCCGCAAAAAGAAAGCGGCGGAAGACGGCAGTGTTGCAGGACGCAGCTTGCAGGTTGGAGCCCGGATGGCAGGCGCACACCCCTGACCAGCGCCCACCCTCGTACCCGGCGAAGGATCAACACCCACCAAAGAGCCCAGTACAAGTACCGCCAAAAATCTGCCTGGGAATGATTTCCCCCCTCCTTCAGCGGCTGCTTCCAATCGTGGCTGGTGCAACCACAGCGGGTTTCAGGGGTCCGGGACATAATAACATGGAGTCCTGTCAGTCAACCTCGCTGTAAGTCGCCCATCCCCCATTGCCCTCCGCACCGCGCGCGCCTACACCGACTCCCGCACAGCAACCAAGGCCGGCCCCACCCCCGTATGTGCCTGAGCAATACAAAGACGGCAGGACCCGGAGAGTGGCAGATTTGGAGGTCTATATTGGCTGCTAATTTCAACCTCTTTCGGTTGGCCCAGGGTGTTGGGACTTTGATGTTATATTTTGCAGCGCTCGGCCGCCCGCCTGGTTTGACGCATTACGAGAAGACATCCTGTCCTCCTGACAGTCTGGCCGGAGTCTGTTCAAGTTGCCAGCAACTCTGTCCGGAGATGGGTTGTGGCGCAGCTCAGCCGATTTCTACTGCGCGGATATAAGGCTCCTCCCATCGGCTCTCACCTCCGCCCGGGCTCCACGCCATCAAGACGCCAGTTCCCCACATGAGGCCCCGTGGGCTCCGCACTGTCGAAGGAGGGGCTTATTGGGAGCTGAGACAAGACACTGGACAGAGCGAGAACGACGAGGTGGCCGAAGGATGGTGCGCGCCGATTCAGAACAGCAGCAGAGCCCGCCAGGCGGATGGGTGGTGGGTGGTGACGAGTGGGAAGCACACAGGCCAGCCATCCAGGAGCTGTACCAGAACCAGAACTTGGCCCTCAAGGAGGTCATAAGAATCATGGAGGAGTCGCACGGGTTCCGCGCCACGTAAGAGTTTGTTTTCCCGCACGCCCTCTCCCGTCGCTGACGCACAGGACCACGGCCGCAGCCAAAGGATGTACAAGACGCGCATCAAGTCTTGGGGTCTCGACAAGAACTTCAAGGAATCCGAAGTGGTGGAACTGTTCCGATTGAGGCGGGAGAGAGACCGCATCGGCAAACCGACTGTCTACGCCATCCGCGGCCGGGAGGTGGACTGGGACAGGGTCCAAACCTACGTGAGGAGAAAGGGCCTCGACATTGCGAGGCTCATCGACGAAGCCCCGCTCATAAATGCCTCATCATCGGCGGCGAGAGAGGTGTCCTGCCGAACGCCGACGCCCGAACCGGAGCGTCTCACATCGCCCGCATCGACCATTTCCTCATCCTACTCGTCGTCATCTACGACCACTGCAGCGTCCTCGCCCAACGATGCCCGAACGGCATTACCCACCTCGGCGACACCTTACCTTTTCCCCGCCCGTCGAACTAGTCGCCCAGATGCTCCACCCTCGGCCACATCGCCGTCACCTTCACCGCAACCGCTCACCTTGACCCCTGAGCGGATTCGCAGCATGCAGCGCTTCCTGGCGCGCATCTACGACACGGTCATGTTTGAGGACGGGGATCGCGCTTGGGGCACAACCGAGTACTGGCTGCGCAACACACGCTCCCAGGAGTGGATCATGACGGTGCGTGTCAAGCTGGCGCTGTACCGAGGCTATTTTTCCGCCGCTGCCGGTGCTTCGCCGCGGGGTTTCCGCACCCTCAACCGGGCCTTCGCCATGCTGGAGCCGCTCAGTGCTAGCATCATCGGGACACGAATGTTCTACCTGGTCAACTTTCTATTCTCGTTTTCTATGCCCGACGAGGCTGCCCGTGCGGTGGGCGGCGTCCGGAATCCCTTTGCTGCTACGGTGGCGCAGCTGGTGGAATCTCTCAACGCCGCTTGCGCGGTGCCGCCCATGGGAGGGCTGGCTGGTGATACCCCAATTGACAGCTCTGCGTCGGGACTGCAATTCAGTGATGTGGGCGAGCCGGACTTCAGGGAGTCGGCGGGCATGTTCCTCGCCAAGGTTCTCGAGCAGATGGTCAGCGTGATGGGAGTGACGCTACCAAAAGAGGTCATCTTGTTGTTGGAAGAGGAGGAGGATGGATATCCCGTGCTGCCTGACAACTGGCGCGGACGACTGAGCAGGACGGGCGGCAGCCAGACGAGGGCTGCAGATATCTCTGCCGGAGAGGCGTTTGAAACGGCCATGTGGCTGCTGTCGCGAAGGGAAGATGCTAATGCGGAGGAATATTTGGTAGGACTGGTCGACGCTGTGTCGGCGCTGCCGTTGTCGTCTTCGGCCCGGGAGCCAAAGGCGTTGGCAAGGTGCGCGCACTATCATCTCTCGAGGATATGGGGCCGGAGGGGGGAGGCGGCTAGAGCGAGGGAGCATATGCGGAGAGCGGTGGAGGGATCACTGTTTTTTGATTCGTTTGTTGGGTGGGATGAGACGGAGTTCCTGTTTGCCTGACGGAGCTAAACTGGGGGTGAGGCATACAGCACACTCCCCCCCTTTCCCGCTGGGGATACAGCGAATGGGCATATGCATTACAGGTAAGTATGATGATTCTGATGGCATTTTGGATTTCAGTGCATAGCATTGTGGGTAGGAACTTAGATACGCAAGCCGGGCACTAACTTGGGTGTCTCGGGCGTGCTGGAGAAACGAGAACAGATGTTTACTGCATGGAAGCGGCGCGCCTCTGATTCACAACGACCGTGGGATGGGCGCTTGTGTAACCGTCTGGTGGCTGGGTCACGCTCGCCAAGTCTTGACGGCTGGGCTCTTGACGCCAACATGACAGCTTGCAGCGCCGAGAGGGGGGTTTATTGGCTGTTTGGCCACATAGTGACATTGACAGATCATACGTCGGCCCGCAGACGGGAGGCAACGGCATACGAAGGGGGTGAAGATACAGTTTGGGCGTCCCGTCTGCTGGTCTTGTCATTTTTTCAGGTGGGGGTCAAGCATCGGTGGGAGCCGGGGAGCAGTCCCGAGCTCCTTTGAATCCTCGTTTCAAGTCCGTTCCGAATTCCGGAGCAGATGGCAGGGATTCTCTTCCCATGCAAGTTGCTCCGAAGTTGACAGCAAACAGGTAAGCTAAGCTGCCTCTTGAGCTTGTTGGTCGCAAAAATTTGACTTGAACAGCTCGTCAGGCAATCTCGGTTGATGTAATTAGGTACATGTACCTTACTGTGCACCTTACCAACTGGCAGGGCCGCAGTCCAGTGGCCTGTTCTCTTCACTCCCTGGACCGGAAAGGATCGGTGCCCCGTCCGCAGCACCGGTCATTGAAACAGGTAGGTAGCTAAGGTAAATTCTCCTTGGACCCGGCAGCAGGTTCCGGGTCTGGCTTGTTCCTTTGGGGCACGGTATGTGCTGGGATCCGAGAAAAGCGCTTGCTTTGATCCTGTGGCTTGGGCACGTGCTGTGCCGCTCGTCATTGATCTCAAAGAGGTCACGGTGTTTGATGCAGTGCAAAGTGCAACTAGAGTGCAGTGGCGTTGGGCGGAATAAGCCGTGAATCGCTTGCATCATTGGTTGGTGGGTTGGCAGTTGGTTGTTGCCTGGTGCCCCGATGTTGTGGTTCATGCTGTACACGGTGATTGAATGCGACGTCGACGCTGGATTCAGGGGTGAGATGGAAAGGGGGTGAAGAAAAGGTGTTGATAAGTCACTTTTTTTTGTCTTTGCTGTTTGCAGACAGAAAAGAAAGAATTTCTTGATGGATCTTTTTCAGTCGGAACGGGGTCAGAAGCGAGTAAGAGTGCTCGCTTACACATCGAAGACGGCGTTGGTGCGCCACTGGGATGCCAGTGTGCCCTGGAGCAGGCCGCTCTGCTCGATTAGATTTCCGGTGCACCGCGTGCTGAACCCTCGGGCTCACTGCTGGCGCAGCGGCTGCTATTCATCGACCGTGGCCTTTGAAGCAGGTCAGGTAGACTGCCTAATTAGGAGCAAGAGCTCCGGGTCTTGCAGACACTGACATTGAGCGGCCGTCTCACCCCCTGAAGCACCCCCTCCGTCAGAACCTCCTACCCACAGAGTAGTTACGCGCTTATAGCCACGGATGTTGAGCTTACTGTCACATGCGGAACGCCACAACCGAGCCTAACCTCCGCCGCCTCGTCATTAGACCCTTATAAACCAAGAAAACGGCGCCCAACTTGAACAAAAGCCACAGGGCGGGTAGCGTAGTGGTCAGCGCGTTTACTAAACCCGCCTGAGCGTTGATTTGTCAGGCTGAGCGTTGTTTAGCGAGAAGGCCTGGGTTCGAATCCCAGCCCGCCCAAATCCCCTTTTTTGCCCCCGAGTAGCACCGCAGCAGGCCATGACGACCAGCATCCCGTTGTAGTTACCTGCTTTTTGCTATTCGCAACTAGTCTCAAGTTTTAGTCGAACGAAAGCGGTGTACAGGCACTGTAAGCCACCTGAATCATGACTTGGATGGGGTGAAGGAAGGAATGGGAGAAAATGCGTATCGGGCCTTAAGTGGCAGATCCGCGATTAATCTCAGTGCACATCTTCGTCACTACGGTGCGACGGAGCTTCGGAAGACAGCTTCTGCTCCGCTGCCAGCCCGATTGGTTCAGCTTTTGCCCAGCTGGGAGTTATATACTCTTTATGTTCTCGCAAGAGAAGAAGCTCTGGGGCTTCTCGGTCCGAAGCTAGATGGATAACTTGGGGAAGCCTGGCATGGGCCTAGGGAAGACGTGTCAACATCAACAACGTCATGACAAAGATTAGGCCATGGGGCGGGGATCAACACCAACCATGACACCCGAACTTCAAGTCCGGCCTTAACTAGCCCAGCGCCGGAAGGCTTCAACCTCTCCTAGCGCCATGCTAGCATCTCCCCCTTCCTCAGAACTGACACTCTCCGATTCAGTCTAGGCCATGCATGACATGAACGTCTTCTCCTCTAGCACACCTTTGCCCCTTTCCGAGTCAAGCATCCTACGCAAACCATCCCTTTTCCCACCTCATCCCCTTTGCATCCCTTCCCCCCCCCCCCCCCCCTCCCCATCCCATAAACCTCCAAACCCACCTCCTCGACAGGTCATCCATCTTCCGCATCGTCCACAACATGGGCTCCAACCCCACCCAAATCCACATCGCCATCATCGGCGCCGGCATCGCTGGCCTCGCGCTCGCCGCGGGCCTGACCAAAAAGCCCCATCTCTCCTTCCACATCTACGAATCCGTCCCCGCCCACCGCGACGTCGGCGCCGGCCTGGCCCTGCACGCCAACGCCATCAACGCCATGGCTCTCCTCGGCCCCGAAGTGCGTCGCGCGTACCTCGACGCCGCCGTGTCGGTTGCCTCGGAGGAGGACGAGGAGATTGCGACCGAGGTGATCCTCGCGCACGGCGAGCACGCGGGGGAGAAGGTGGCTGAGCTGGGGAGGGCGAAGGGGAGGAAGAGTGTCAGTCGGGCGGATTTGTTGATGGGGTTCAGAAAGCTGGTTCCGGAGGAGAGGATTTCGTGGGGGAAGAAGTTGGTGGGGATGGAGGTTGGGGTGGGAAAGGGGGGAGTGAAGCTGAGGTTTGGGGATGGGACGGAGGCAAGGGTGGATTGTGTGATTGGGGCGGATGGGATTCACAGTGTGGTGAGGGCGTACTTGCTGGGGGAGGATCATCCTGCGACGAAGCCGAGTAATGAGGATGGTTGGCAGGTGTATCGAACGCTGGTGCCGGTGGAGGAGGCGAGGAAGCAGATTGACGAGAAGTGGACGAGGAGAGTTCCGATTCTGCTTGGTCCGAGAGGCCACGTGAATTGCATTCCGATGAACAAGGGGACGAGGATCAGCGCTGGGGTTGCGGTCAGAGGAGGTGCCTTGGAGGGAGGGGGAGCGAAGCCGTTGGACCCGATGCTGTACGCGGACTACACCGAGGAGGCGCAAAAGATCGTCCGGATGGTGGCAAAGGATACGAGCGCGTCGTGGAGCGTGGGAGACCATGACCACGCGCCATTCTACAGCAGAGGCTGCGTAGCCATGATGGGTGATGCGGCACATGCCTCCCTTCCGTTTGCCGGCAACGGAGCTGCTCAAGCATTGGAGGATGCTGCTGTTCTGGACGCTCTATTTGCTCGGGTGAAGATGGTGGCGCAGATCGAGGCTGCTCTGACAGCATACGACGCTACTCGGCGTCCGCGGTCGCAGGCCGTGGTCGACTTGGCGCGGAAGTTTGGCCGTGTGTATGCGTACTCTGAAGCGAAGATGCACGAGAGCCCCGAGAAGATGAGGGAATTTTTTGCAGGCGCGGCCAAGTTTACCAACAACGCTGACTTAAAGAAGCAAAACGATGAAGCAATCAAGCTGTACGAAAGCTCCATTCGAGGCAGGTCGCAGAGCTGCCCAGAAGCCCTTGCGTAGGACCATTACGATGAGACGTGGCTTCTGGAGTACAGTTCTATTTCATTATTAGTATGCAGGTTGTATAGCTCGTGATTTCATTCCGTTTCAGCTGGTTTCTGCGTCCACACAGTGGTGCTGTTCAAGGTCAGCTTGATGGGCGGAGATATCGGCTGGTTTTGTTGGAACATACCACGGAAAATGGGCATGCCACGAGGGGTTCCTGAACGCCGCCCGCATGTCCTGACACAGCGCATCGACGTCGCCAACCTCCCAGCCGAGGACATTTGTGGCAGAGTATAGCAAATAGCCCTCCAAGCCGTAGTCACAACCGACCACATTAAATCCCCCGATTTGTTTCCATTTCTTGTCGGCCGGCCAAGTTCCTAGAGGGAGCTTGAACTCTTTGACATTGATGGGGCCTGTGAAGCCAGCTTGCTCCATGCATCTGGCCATGTGCCCATCGTCGACGGCGAAGGTCTTCCCAGTCCTCTCCCCTGTCTCGGCGAAGACCCTATTCCATGTGTCGTAGGCCGAATTCTCGGGAACTGACCCGTCGTCCGACGTAATGCGAACAGTAAAGTCGGTATGCTCAAGCCACCCTCCAGGTTTCAAACAACGAAGAGCCTCGCTGTACAATTTCGTCCAGTCCTCGATGCTTCCCATCAGACATCGGATGTGAATCAGGTCAAAGTGGTTTGCTGGAAAAGTCCAGGGCGAAGTGACGTCGTCGAGTTCAAAAGTGCAATTTGGTGGGACCCACGAAGGCTAAGAGATATTAAGCGCGTCAGTAGTCATCGTCATAATGGCGGGTGGTGCTGAGAGACCTGGATGGGCGAGAGGTCGGTCCCTATCACCTGAGCCGAGGGAAATTCATCGGCCACTTCTCTGTTGACGACGGTATTAGCTCATCTCTTGGTTATCTTGGACACTGGTTCTTACACCGCCCAGGCCCCCGTGCCTGTGCCTATATCCAAAATGGCTTGTGGGTTTTCGACGGGTGAGCGGAAGAGCTTCCCGTCGTTCAAGAGCAGCAGCGCTTGGTGATGCAAGTCGAGCCCGTCGTTTTGTGCGTTGTCGTTCGGCCCCCAATATTCGGTGTTGCCAAAGTTGTGGTAGGTTCTGCCGTGCAATTCCCGGTACTGCAAAGCCGACCCGTGCAGCGATGGCTCGGGATGGATGGATACGTCGCAGTCGCCGAGGGCCGAGTCGGCTTCGTGGCGGATGAATTCGGGATCAACAGGGATCGGTGCGGCGTGTTCGTGATCACCGTTGGGTTGGTTCTGAGCCATGGCGGCTTCGTCAAAGCATCTTGTAGTAAGCATCGGATCGAGCGGAGGTGGGGGGCGGGTCGACTTTTGCTGTGCCGCAGAATCGGAGACCACGAGCAGGGTCGGATGCGGGGCACCGATGGCTTTATGTTGGCCGACTTCCCACTACCCTACTTACCTGTCCTGCATTGCATGATGGCTGCAGGGGACAGCAGCCATGCAGACATGTACCGGCAGGCAGTTTGGGTACGACGCAAACAGACGGTGTAAAAAGCAAAGCCAGGCTCCCGAGACAAGCACCTATAAGCGGCGGCATCCCGAGCGGTTTCTGTTGCTGTAGCCGTTCCGGGCCTAGGCCGGGTCTTGGCCGAGGGCTACACGCCGAACACATATTACCGCGGCGGATCTGAGGCCGAGGATCGCCGCTCCCTGCGGCGAAGTGTTGTGCACGCCCAAGGAACAGCCAATCGTGGACCGGTGGCGCGTGTGCTTGGGTGCAGCGACGCTTGTTGCCATTTGTCTAGCCTTCAACGCTATTCGGCAGTCTAGGGCGGAGGCAGTGAGCTGCTGCTGCAAGAAGGGATCGAAGCACCAAGGGCTCGGCATCGGGCAGAGAGAGAGAGGCGAGCGGAAAAAGAGCTCACTCTATCAGATTTCCATCTGCGACTTTGACGTAAACACTTGGTGCGCAGCTTTTGATCTGGCTCCAGTCCTGTCGACCACCTGTCCGCCTTCCGGGACCCCGAGTTCGGCGGTGTGCAGTCTTGCGAGGACCTTGTCGATATCGTCCTCGACGAGGAAGCTCAGATCTGTGGAGCCAGGCTGCGGAGTCTGCGCCTTGGGCTCAAACTCGCGCCCGCTCGAATGCAGCTTGCCGAACAGCAGCGTGTGCCTCTCGGTGCTCTTGGAGGAGAGTATCACGTGCTTGGCGACCATGACTGTTTTGTAGAAACGGATAGTCGCACCGAGGTCTTGACGGTCGAGACCCAATTGCCGGGAGGGAGGCCTTTGCGATGGGGGGTGGTCATTGCGGGCGGAAGGCAAAACCGGAGCGGGGCGGAGCGTCGGGAGGCGGTGATGTTGCGATTGGAGAGCCAGGGTCGAAATCACCGTGCATAATGTACGACTTTTCACGTGGTCCATGGATGGTGGCAGGCAATCCGGGGGTTTCCGGTGGCGGTCAGCGCGATGCACCAGCAGTGGTATGACCGCGTCGATGTGGGGGCAAGAATCTGCGCTCGTAAGTGGAAGAATGGAAGGAAAGAACAGCCAGGTTTCCCTCCATCCACCTAGCATTCCCTCTGACTGCCGGACGCCGCGGCAGCAGGAACCTGCCAACTAACAAATCTCTGCCGCAATTTTATCCATCAAGGACAGCAAGAAGGGGATGGCCGGTGCAGTGAAGCCTGGCGCCGTATTCTGCGGCTTGCTCCCACCGGCCCCACCTCCGGCACTACTCATTCCCACGGCCCCGGTCCTGCATTGCCAGCCTCCGCCGTGATGGTTACCCACACAGAAGCCGGGTATTTACTCTTACTGACCGAGCTGCCACGCCGAGCCCTGACGCTTTCCCAGCAGTCGGTCTCATAATACCTGCGGAAACGCACACGTCTCGTCAGCGATGGGTGAACACATTTCATCACAGGGAAGTTGGCTATTCAACCG